TCGCGGCGACAGTTTCGGGTAAGTAATATTCCACATCCTTTCCGTGCATGCGCCTGGAGCAGGTTGCACGCTTGCAAGATAGCATGACATGTGTACCTCTCGCTTTTCATCACTGCAACTATCGCGACAGTTAGCTAACGACATCACCATCTATAGTGCGTTCCAGGCTCTCAAAGACTGTTTGTCTTTGCTCAATTCCCCTATTCCTCCGACAACATGGGAGGCGTGCGATGCTCAGTTTCAGCAGATATATGGCACGCTTCAGAACATCGATAAGGAAGAACTGCTCAAGCGGCGTCCGTCTCCCGACGACCGTGTCCTGATGACTATTGGGCCTGTCTTTATCGAACTCCTTAGTGCGGCGTTCTGGTCGAACAGCCTGCTTTTCTATCAGGCGACGCTGAAGCTTATCACCGTCCATCTCGAAAAGGGCACCATGTCACAGGTTGCCCTTGCATACGTGCATCTGGGCACTGTTGCGGGCGGTCGTTTCGGAATGACGAATTTCGCAGTCGACATGGGTGCGATTGCAAAGCGAATCTTTCAGATGGTAAGTTCTGGCTATACGAAGTGCACGTGAGACATATACTGACTTCATGCCTCTACCTCTGCAGTTCCCTGAAGACTACTACACCCTGGGAAGAGGTCAAACTTTGCAGCCAATGTTTCTAGGTCACTTGGAAGCGCCTGTAGGCGATCTGATACCGAGCTTAGAGGCAGCCTTGCAGGCTTCACTAACTGCTGGCGATCGCATCCTCACACTTCTAAATCTTGGTGTACAGGCTCACTTCAGGGTCATGGCTTCATACGACGTCGCAGAATTGGAAGCCTGGATTGAGGAAACACCGCTTGATATGCGAAACTGGCAGAAAGACATGCGTGGAGGAGTTTTCCTCATGGCTGCTCGTCAATATGCAAGAGCGCTTCAGGGAAAGACTGACTCAAGCAACGCTCTTTCCCTCCTCTCGGACCACGATCACAACGAGGTCGACTACATTGAGTTCCTCGAAACCACGGCCAGTAATCCCAAGCGTCCCAAGTCTATATATCTTGCAACCAAACTTCCGCTGTTGGTACTCTATGGTCATCATTCGGATGCAGTGGCTCTTGGGGAGATGCTACTTCCGATGCTGAGCAGTCTTTGGTCAGAAAGACTCAATTACTCGGTCCGATACTACTTATCGTTGGCATACATGGCTGTTCTCCGAGAGAAGCCCGCTCATAGCCGGAGAGACGAGATGGTAAAACATGTTCATGAGACCCTCAAATTGCTCGAGACATGTTGCACTACCACTGATGTCAACTACCGGGGTTGGATACATCTTCTCACTGCCGTCCTTGGGGATGTTAATGCCGATCCGCAATCCGCGCTGGAGAATTATGAGGCAGCCATGGAGCATAGCGAACGTTACGAGTTTGCATTGGACGAAGCGTTTGCTCTCGAGCTCTACACTGGATGGTTGGTAGACAAGAAGGCCTACAGGGCGGCCCGACATTCTTTGAAAGACTGCATCTCGGTCTATCGGAGGATGTCAGCATACGGGAAAGCAAATCACTTCGCGAGTCGGTATGAGTGGCTAGTGCGTAGCGGCGCCTCGCTCACGACAGTGGACCAAGCTGTACAAACCTCCCTCGTAGACACTGGTAACACGGCCTTCAGACTGGAGCAAAATGACCATGATCAATTGCTGGGCGCGGAGACTGCAGTCGATCGAACACAGAATTGGATTGTCCCGGAAACACGGCGCCAAGAGTCTGCTCCAGCTCTACACAACGGTCTCTCCGCTGTCGGTCTGGACATGCTAGACCTATCCTCAATCTTGGAGTCGAGTCAAGTCTTGTCTAGCGAGCTCGTCGTCGATAAATTGATGGCGAAGATGAGTACCATTTTGCTTGAATCTACGGGCGGTACCTTGTGCGGCATAGTGATTGAAGACTCACAAATCGAATGGTCGATCGCATGCGTTGCCACCAACGAGCCTGACAACGACAGTGGGGTCTCTTCTGGCGTCACATCCTTCCCTGCCAGTCAACCTTTAGATACTGTGGACGATGTCGTTGCGCGGCAAGTGACGCTCTACACACTCCGCTTCCGAGAGATAGTCTTCGTCCAGAACCTACTAGAAGACGACCGCTTCTCCAACGTTTCTGACGCCTACCTTCAACGGAACCCCGAGGGGAAAGCAGTCATCTGCATCCCGATTCTGCACAGCGATCACCTTCTTGGTTCAATATACGTCGAGGGCCCGCCGAATTCGTTTACCGAACGTAACACCCAGGTTCTTCGGTTACTGGTGAATCAAATTTCCATCTCCTTAGCCAATGCACTGCTTTTTAAAGAAGTGGAAAGAGTATCCGCAAGCAACGAAGCCATGCTTGAAATGCAGAAACGCGCTTTGTCACAGGCGCGGGCAGCAGAGATCAAGGCGAAAGAGGCTGAAGCCATAGCTGTGCGTAACATGAAGCTGAAAGAAGAAGCCGCGAAGGCAAAGAGTTTGTTCCTGGCCAACGTGTCGCACGAGTTGCGTACTCCCTTGAACGGCGTGATTGGTATGTCTGAGCTGTTGAAGGCTTCACCGCTAAACTCGGAACAAACCGGATATGCTGATTCAATTCGTGTCTGCGCCGATACGCTGCTCTCGATCATTAACGACCTTCTCGACTACTCAAAGCTCGAGGCTGGCAAAATGAATGTCTTGGAGATGCCCATTTCACTGAGCGAAACAATTGCGGAAGTAGTCCGCGCTTTGGCCTACACGAACGCCGAGAGAGGCCTCAAAACCATTGAGCAATTGCATCTGGATCCAGAGATGCTCGTTATGGGCGACCCTGTTCGACTGCATCAGATTCTCATGAACTTGCTGTCCAACAGCTACAAGTTCACGCCACGAGGATCTGTCACTGTCCGCGCTGTTGTTGACCAAGAGACAGACGACTGGGCAGATGTGACATGCAGCGTTATAGATACTGGCATTGGTATTCCAGACGAACAGAAGCAGAAATTGTTCCTTCCTTTCTCGCAGATAGAGTCTAGCTCTGCTAGGAGCTACGGCGGCACTGGCCTTGGTCTGAGTATTTGCAAAGCCCTCATAGAGAACGTTATGCATGGTACAGTACGTCTCGACAGCCAGCCAGGCCAAGGTACAACAGTCACCTTTTCGTTGCGATTCAAGAAAGTGCCGAAAGCGCAAGCAGGCAGTCAGCAGCAAAGGACACGAGAGCCAGACCCTATGGCCAGGTTCTCAAGCCAGGAGAATAACGGCCATGAGCAACTGTCGGGTTCCTGCATCGATCTTTCCACGATACCCAGACGAGAACTACGGGTCTGCATCGCGGAAGACAACTTGATCAACCAGCGCATCGCAATCAGCTTTGTGCAAAAGCTTGGCTTCAAATGCGACGCTTATCTCGACGGATACAAGACTATCGACGCTCTTGAGCGTGCTTCGGAGAATGGTCGCCCCTTCCATCTTATTCTCATGGATGTGCAAATGCCGCATTGCGATGGCTACGAAGGTAAGGATTGCTACTCGCGCCTTGCCTAGCACATGAATACTGACCATGTATAGCTACGAAACTGATCCGCAAGCATCCCAATCCCGAGATTCGAAACGTACTCATCATTGCCATGACCGCTTCCGCTATCCAAGGAGACCGCGAGAAGTGCCTGGAATCCGGTAAGTTCTGGCAGCTTGATCTACGTTTGAAACGTACGCTGACCTAGTAGGCATGAACAATTACCTCGCGAAACCGGTTCGCGCGCAGACGCTCAAAGCGCTACTGGACTCATACCTGAACAAGAACAAGGAGGTGGAAGAAATCCCCAATCTTGCGATCGAAGCGAAGAAGTTGGTCAAACAAGCATTGAACGAAGCTGAAGCGCTACCTGATGTCACGAGTGGACACAAGGATCTCGAGAAAGACGTGCAGCATGAAAATGCTGCAGAACACGGGACGAAGCTGGAAAGGCCGTCCAGTGTTCGTATGAGCACCACCCAACACATATTACCCAACGGCAAGACGGAGCCTGTACCGCCTTCCGAGTAAACCGCATTTTCTTGGCCAATTTAAGGATTGACGGGTGGATGTTTTGCTGCTTTCCGAATTCCCGTTCGCGTTGTTAGAGGCCGGTCGTTCTTGCATTGCATGGCGTTTCGCTCACTGAAGGAAATCATTGGGGACTTCCTTCATGTTCCAGGTACATCATAGCATTCTCGCCGGCAGCGCTTGATGATCGAATATTCGTTGTAGTGCGCGTGAATACATACCCGTTCGTTCTGTTCATCGTGTCGACTCAGCCTTCTTCCTGCCAAAGCTTCACCGTGCGGGGTTGCAATACGATGCAATGACCGCCCAGCACGCACACTCTCAGAACAGACATTTCGACGCGTAAGCTCGCAGCACGAGCAACTTCACGGCATCACTGTGCTCGCCGGATCATCGGCCAAAGCACGACTTGGCGTCAGCACCCTCGCCAGCGTGTCGCCGTCCCCACTTTAATTAACGCCGAAAAATGCCGCGCACCCTGCGGCGCAGTGACTGAACCACGAAGTGGCTCATGAAGTGGCTCAACAAAGCAGTGGCACAGTCGCTGCCAATAGATCGTCACTAGAGTCAGCGTCCCGCGACACAACTTTACACCTTATACAACACCGGTGGTGAGGATGAGTCTGCCCTCGCAGATCTGCATGTCAGAAAAGGGCTTGCGTCACCCCCTTCCCCCTTCTCGGCTAACGGGATGTGCGTCAATTGGGCGTGGGCGTCTGGGTTAGCCGGCATCCACGGTTGAGTTTGTTGGCAGAGGGTTGAGTCTGTGGCCTTTCTTCCTGGTTTCTGGTTTTTCTCTTTCATGGGTTTCACCTCTTTCACCATACGTATGCTCTAGGAACTGAATATTCACAACGATACGCTTGATCACACCTCTATTGTTCTATTTAGACTAATCCTCATCTCGACTACTCCACGAAAAGACAACTGGGTTGAACATGGACACAGACACCATGACGCGACCATCTCTAGAATCCAAGCGGCATCACACCTTCGGCCTCCATCGCAGCAGAAGCCACCTCTCGAGCAAGCCATCCTCTCCACACCTCTTCGAAGGCACCGACGCTGTCCTCCAAAAACGCAAAGTTGCTCTTCGAAATGTCATACAGACGCACCACGCTCTCGAACGGAAATACGGCCACGTCGCAACACCAACGAGTACCTCCAGCGAACGACCGACTTCATCTTCCTCCTCCATCTCCTACGATCCCTTCACTACTGATTTCGGCGACCTATCTATGCCCGACGCTGAAGTGCGCACGTTTCGGTATCTTCTTCACAGATGGGAACCCAAGAACCTGGAGTGGGCTGATCCAGAATTCGAAAAGGTGATCGAGCGACGAAGGGAGAGCTTCGAAGAAGCGGCCATCAAGCACTTCATTAGTCGGGTTGCGCTGTGGGATGCCAGTGGGCAGGAGCAACAGACCCAGTCACGAAGCGTATTCTCAATTTTCGGCAGGCGGAGGAGATCGAGGGCGAAGAGCGATGCGAGTAGAATGCTAAGCATCGCGGAAACGACGAAAGAGGATCCTGACTTGGACGCGTTGAAGGAAGTTACTACGAGAGAGGGGTTGGCGCAACTACTATCGACGTTATTGAAGGACGATGGGCCAGCGACCGCGAGATTGAGAGAGGAGTGCAAGCAGGCGATGCATGAGTGGTATCAGACGAAGTTTATTACAGATGGGTCGACGGACAGTTGAGAGGAGGTGCATCTACATCATCTGGTTGGACTTCGTAAAATCTATGGCTATCATATTTTTCGATATACTGCATCGGTAATAAATCATGGCTTTCGGGTTAGAGAAACGTAAATTTGTGCAGATGCGACGAAGTTCAGTGTTCTTGTGCTTGCTGTACCCCAGTGATGTCATCAGCACTATCCGCATGGCTCCGCTTCCGATCGGAACCAGTCCCGTCACCCATCTCAAGCTGTTGTGAAACGAACTCACAAACACGGCTACGTTCCATCCAACATGCCTTTCCTCCACGTCGGCTACAAACGCTTTCACTACACCGACTTGAAACCACAAGATGGCAAGACACGCGAGACACTCATTTTCATGCACGGGCTGGGCTCTTCGCAGAATTACTATCAGCCAGTAACTCAAAGCTTGGTCGCGAATGGATTCCGCTGCATTACCTTTGACAACACAGGGGCCGGTCGATCGACGTACACATTTGTCGAGCAGAGTATCGAGACGCTAGGAGAAGATGTGATTGGGATTCTGGACGCGCTGAACGTCGACAAGGCTGTGTTCGTTGGGCACAGCATGGGAGGGTACGTCAGCGACCTCTCGGGCAGAAAGAAGCCTTGGAAGACGCGACTGCAACGAACACGACAACTGACACGTCTCTAGCATCGTCGGTGCACACCTTGCGGCTGAGCGAAGTGACCGCATTGTAGCAGCTATCCTGATCGGCCCTGTATATCCCAGCCCTGAGGCAGGCCCCCGCTTTCACGAACGGATAGAAACCGTTGCAAAAGACGGTATGCAACCCATGGCCGACAGCATCCCACATGCTGCAGTCGGGAAGAAGGCGTCTCCACTGGTCAAAGCGATGATCCGCGAGTTATTGCTATCGCAGGATCCAGCGGGTTATATTTCCAACTGTCGAGTCATTATCAATGCAAAGCCGCCTCAGTACAGCAAGATCAGCGTGCCCGTACTCATTCTCGCTGGTGAGGAGGACAAGAGCGCACCGCTTGAAGGATGCAAGAAGATGTTCGAAGAGATTGGTAGCAGCGAGAAGAAGTTGGAGGTTATGGAGGGAGTCGGGCATTGGCACTGTCTTGAGGCTTTTGACGAAGTCGCGAAATTGATTGAGGGGTTTTACCACGAGATACAATAAGCAATCCGTACAGGTTATTTCCGAACGACCCGCGGAACGGGGCACGCACTCACGGAACTGTAGGGTAGTGGAGAAGCTCGGCGTTCGTTTCATCGCACAGGCCCTCTTACTGCGAGTCAAAAGGGAGGAGTGTACCTGCCAAGTCATACCGCCTTTCTGTGATGCTTCGCACTGTGTTCGCAGTGTGCGCGTTGTGCCTGCGTGGTGGAGTGGAAGAGGGGTTCGTGAGGATACCACGTGCGAGCCGATCTTCCAGACGACCCTTGCGGTGACTAGCTTAGCGACAAAAAAGCTGCAATGCAGACTCATCTCCGCGTGCGAGTAGGACGCAATTGGTGGTGTTGTGCTGCCGCATGACATAGCCATTGGCGGCGTCCCTGGCCCGATCAGCTGCATCATCTGCATTGGATGTGGCCTTGGCGCATGGGTTCCACCCTCCAAAGAGCGTTTGCAGCGGATAACTGTAAGCAGTAAGGCAGCGGGCCGCGCACCCACAAGACATACATATGGGAGTAAAGACTTTTACAGCCTCCCATTCGTGTAAGAAAGGGCTGTGGGAGAAATGGATGTATTTTAGGGTAGTGCCCAGGTGGTTCAGGGTTCTGCGCCGGTACCCGCCGCAGCGGTTTGGTGTAATCTTCCCTGGCGCCCCTCTCAGCAATGCCCACGACGCCATGCGCAGCGCTTCATTTGGCATCCTTTACTTTTCAGGCTCGACATTTCCGCGTGCGCTTGCCTGAGTCGAGCGTGGGTCATCTTGGCCCGATGTCGCTGGCCTGTCGTTCTTTGATTTGATTCGGTCCTTCCCGCCGTCCGTGCTGCACTCCCAAGGTTGTGCCGGATCGACTTGTCGGTAGACGAGGCTGCCACTCGCGTCTATTCGACATGGCCTCGCGCCCTCCTTCCCTTATCACGAGCCAACCCGAAGTGATCAGCGTCCGAAGCTGTGTGTGTGGCCTCTCACGCGCTACCACATCATCGCTGGCATGTGAAAGCCGACGACATCATACTTGAATGTTTCGTCCTCTGCCCCCCATGTGCGACTCTGATTGTGACATATTTAGTGCATCTGTCATGCTCCGTCTCGAACCCACGGAAGCTAGCGAAATCCTTCTCCAGTTTAATCGCGCCGCTAGTCTTTTCACGCGCCTAGTCTATTCAGGCCCCGGAAATCGAGTCCTGGAAGGCGGTGAACTCCCAACCCTTTTCGTAGAGGTGCCCACGCGCTCGGCTCAAACTCGTCAAGAGATCGTGCATGCCGTGCGTCTCGCTGCATGCTGGCAGGGTCTGGGCCAACCAACGGCCAAGATCGACATTTGGGACGTTTTGATCTCTTCTTTATATACTAGGCTCTAGTTTCCCTCCTACTGACCGCGGTTGATTCAATAGTCCTCCAGGCGGGTCCCGCGGTTCGTCACTTGACTGACCCAACAATTACTGGCGTCACATAGCCCGCCTGTGATTCCAGATTTCATTCTCTTATACCGCTTGTGTGTGCCGTTCGCGCGAGGAATCCAAATCTGTGTGTTTCGGTGTTGGCACTGGCTGCTGGTATGGGCTTTTACCCCTTGAGCACAGAACCTTCCTATTCCGATACTGATATCCGACCTAGACGAGTACCGAAATTATTCACCACTAAGACAATATTACCGATTCAATATCCTTTGACACACCTCACATCTACGTCACTCCCCGTTCTCGATCTTTGATAGATCGGCGATGAATCGAATTGATAGTGTTGCGGGTTCCTATCTCCCTAAGATACCCAGCCAAGAACCACTGTGCAACAACAATACCATCCGGCACAGCAAACATCGCAGAAATAAAGTCGAATCGATCGCTCCTCTCCAGGTTGCAGACATGGAGCCACGACGACCAGTATCAGAGCAGCGCTCACGACCATTACGACAACAGTCCACCACATCATCAGAAAACTCAAACAGCAGATCAAAGAGCCGTGGCCATGGCTCAAAGCCCTCATCGCGACGCACTTCCTGTACTATCGTGGACCCATCAAGACCTGCGCGCCACTACCGAGTGAAGAGTTTCCAAACACCACCCGCCACCACAACCAGCCAAGATGTTGACGATGTTCTTGCGCTGCACTTCCGCAGTTGCAGCATCTTCTCAAACCCATCCTACCAATCAAACTCTGGACTTCCAAGCCCGACGATGTCTCACGGTGACGCATTCGGTTTTCCCAGCGCAGCGACGCGTTTCAGCTCAGACAGTCTACGCGTAGTGGAAGAAACATCCATGCCCCGCCAAAGCGAAGACACAATCGACGCAGAAAAGACCAACACAACCATGCATTGGACATCGCCATGCACGCGAAAACGCGAGTACGAAAGAATCGACAAAGCCAACAGCGGTCTACGAGGTTTCTTCCGCAAAGTAACACCGCGATGTGTCTCAGGCCCGCAAGAGAAGTTCTACGAGAAAGATCAGTCGGATGCTGGATCTGTGCGACGCTATCGCATGGACGATTTGGATGACGCGCATATGAATGAGAAGGACAGTGCGCGGCCGCGGACGAGTCCTACACCCAGGCCGAATTCAAGACCTGGCGTGAAGAAGCGGTGGACGTGCTTCTAGATGTGAAGAGCAGAGAAAGAGAGAGAGAACAAGAGTGACATTACGCAGCAACGAGTTTGGCATATTTTCGCGCAGCATTGAGAACAGGCGTTTGCTATATCACGATACCCACGGCATGTTTATTTTTGCGAGCTTGTTGCTTTTGAATCAGAGAGAACGCATTATACCAATACGTCCATAGAGTAGAATTTTGTCGTAATTTATAGTTTTGCATTGATCTCATGGTATTTTTGCTGGTGTAGTGAATGAACATGCAACAGGCGGTGAGCATTGCGTCATGGCATCGCATTTCTTCATGAATTGGGTATTCCATGCGCGATATACAAGGCGACGTGCAACGCAAGTGAATTGAATGGTGATGATTGGTATAATTAAATGTGTATCTATAACTTGGACTCCTCCTTGACTGTGCCAATCTTGAGCTTAGGTGCGTACTTCTTCAATACGCTCTCGTTGTGGTACTGTGTCTTGGTCAGCAAATCCAAACTTCATGTGCGATAAGGCGCTTTCGATGATCAAATCAAGGGTCCAGTCTGCCATGATTCCGCTGGTACCGAGCACCGAGTACCATCAGCGCGGTGGTACCAAGACCAAGCGCGCAACAGCAAATCCGGCCCTGGAAAACCGCGCGTAGCAAATTGTCCCAGGCATTCCTGTCCTCTCGCCTCTTCCGTGTGGTGGCTATAACGTACCTTCCAGAACTGCTTGCTAGCATCCTTTCCACCGACTCTCTTCAGGATCTTAGCGCCACCGGGGTGCTCGTCCACAAACGAGTCCATCTTGTATACATCATTGTCGACTATTATGTACAGTCCCTTCTCGACTGTGTTGTGCTCGGCGACTTGCTTGGTGGTGAGAGACTCGGACATGGTGGGCTTATGAACGCGTTTCGGCAGCGGCGGCGCGACGGCAATGGAGGAGAGGTACTTCGGCGTTTGAAATACGAGAGGGAGGTTGCGACGGTCGCGCTTAGTTTTGGGCTTTTGGAGGGATTTGTCGGTGAGGGAGCAGGTGAGTATGGCTATGGTGATGCGATAGAAGTGATCACGGGCGGAGTCTGGGGTTGATCTAGTAGTAGCTCGGGTTGCGGCTCGGTCGTGGAATGCTATAATGTGGAGGTATGCCGAGGTTGATGAATCGCGCTAAAGCTGCGCGTGGTAAGCTGGGTTGCGGAGATCGTGATTGGTGCTGACACGTCATTCCTCCCTCCCTTATCGACCATCAATCTTCCAAGGCCGTTGTTCCTTCCCCAGGCCTGGAAATCACCTGGGTAGACATCGCGGCGGCGGTGAGTTTCGCAGGTAGTACCCATGGATTTTGCGAACTCTATTGCCACATGCTGCACCGACCGTCGAAGCGACGAGTGCCGCAGGCTGGATGAATGGACGTCATGTTCCAAAGAAGGTTCTATTGCGCTTCGTCTCAAGGCGCAGTTGCCTTCTCTCCAACCTTGGTACTGATCAGGCAAATACCAGTGGACTTGTATACTCGACACATTTCATTCGGTCTCTATGCTTGGTCGCTTAGTCCACCACTACCATAACATGCGATTAACGGGTTACAGCGAATCATCGCGTATGAAGAGGATATCCAGCAGATCTTCCTTCCTCTCACTTGCTTAGATGCAAAATGGCTGCGAAGTGGAGATGGCGTCCGAAGCAAGGACTTTTCACGAGCTCCTGCCTCTCTAAAGCTACTGCCACAATTCATTTCACTTCACCTACCACCTACCTCCCCAACTAGCTTGTGTGTCTCCCCAAGCACGCGAAAAATCGACTGCAGTATCCCTTAAGAACTGTATTCTTCGGTTACACGACAAGATGTCAGCGAAGCATACTGAAACCCCTGTGCGCAACACAGAGGTAGAATCACACCTTATTCGACTACCCGGCGAGCTTCGCAACAAGATCTTCGAATACGCACTCACCATCGATGAGGGAATCTTCTATCGCGAGGACAAACTGGGTGTGGGTTGGTTATGTCTCCATCCTCGAACATTTGAAGAAGACGTAGAAAGATTTAGCGAAACCCCCGCACCAGTAGGTCGTGTTCAAGAGTCGGATGATGACGCTCCCATGAGGAAGCGACGAAAAATCTCAGAGACGAATCTGAGTACCAACAAGCCAGTGTCAGACACCAAGAAGACGATACACCAAGGACCGGTCAGAGTGAATGGACATGTGGTCGCCAACCAGCTCCAGTTTGTCAACAAAAAGCTTCGAAACGAGACCAAAGCGTTGGTCATTCGCCACAACGATATACACATCCGGGGTCCGCCGAACAACCTCACCAGATTCTACAACAGCGTCGTGGGAAAGAGAAGACTATGGATCCAAAAGATCCACCAGCAAGTCACAGATTACCGCTTTGAGGATCTATATGGTCTCCAAATCGACGCAGAAATGCATCCCCGCTTTCTGATAGAGTGTCATAGCAGGGGCACTGGAGGCTGGGCGGAATTTTATTCTCTCGCTACTCGTGCAGCAAGTGGGACGCCGAACATTGTCTTCAGTTGGTAGTATCAAGAGCGCTTTTGTACGAGCAGAATGCCATGATCATCAGAATGGACCCGCTACTAGTAAATTTCAAGGTGTTTTCCAGAGATAGAGGCTTGGACAAGGCTGTAGCTTGACTTTCCTGCGAAGAAGATGGCATTGGGCGGAAGTGGTCGATCTCGTCGTTGCGATGAGTATACAAAGGCGGAAGGAGGAATTGACAGCGTAGTTTTTAATGTTCTGGATCTAATAGCTCCCGGACTAAGATGATATGATTCCAGCTCTACAATGCTACGTTCCAAGTGCAAACTGCGACAATATATACATGTGTTCCGAATCTACAGTCACGAAGTCAAATGCGTTCATGCTGCGGGGCTAGCAACGGACGTTGTGAGCGGGCCGCTCTCAATGTAAGTCCCAGAGAAGAACCAATCTTCGGCGCCCGTTCCATCGTTACCCTGGCGGGGCAGACGAAGGACACCAAGATGCCAGTCGGCGCCGTTGGAAGAAGTGCTGGTGGAGAAAGGCCCGGCAGTCTTGGTGAGCGTGCTGTTGCCGGTAGAGTGCCAGAAGGTGACTTGGTTCTAAGGGATGGTATTGAAAGTCAGTATGTGCTCAAGGTCACTTTATAAATGATTGCGACTTACGGAGGAGAAGTTGATCTCGTAAGCTACGTTGTGCCACTCGTCCGCCTTGAGTTCGACCTTCCACTTGCTCTGGCCGCCCACCATCCATTGCCTGCGTTTGGGTTAGCATCATCCCCGAATTGAGTTCATATATTTGGGTCAGCTCACAAGTTGGTGTTGCTAGTGCCAGACTCTCCGTTGACCCATCCGTACTTCAGTTCTGTGAAATGGCTCTCGAAAAAACAGATCTGGTGTTCATTCGTCGCACTTGGAACGTTGGTAGTAGACCTCTTGATCGAGAAATGGTAGTATACCGTGCCCTGGTTGATAGCAGCCTTCGTCTGGGGAATGAGCTCAGTCCTCCACATGTCGCTGTTCCACTTAGCCGTGTTATCGATCGTGATCTTTGCACCTTGCTTGCTGCCAGTGTCGCCAGAGTTCTTGTAGTTCGGTGACAGGTTTACGTATTTGGTGGTGGCGCCTGAGCCGTGGATATAGTACTGGTAGTCTGGCAGAGAGAGGCGAACGTCAGCTGTGTTCGCTGTGTAGCTTGACTGCAGCACTTACTGCCCACTTGATTTGCCCATGACCATTTGTCCAGATCGGAGGAAGTGGTCATGTCGTTGAAGCGACCATCCCACAGGATCGTGCCTATCTCTCGTCAATGGAATGTAACATGCAAGGTGAGGGTCAGCAAACCTGCCGACACGGCGCTCACGAGCGCGTTGACGATAGCTGCCTTTCCGAACATGTTGACGATTGAAACTCAAAAGGTCCCTGTTTTGAGAGACTGTAATAATTGGCAGTTGAAATGCCAGCATTCGAGGTCTTCACGATGCTATATAAAGACCGCCTCAAGCCAATGCTTAAAGTATCTCGACCCGAATCTGGAGGCGAGGCGTCCATTTCGTGCTTAGAGCGCTGCACATCAATATCGGGGAAAAGGCACATGTCCGGCATTCTACATTGAGTATGTACTCAATGTGCGCTGCGTGACCACTGTTCTCAATCAATCTATATGTTTTCGCCGCCTTTTCACATATAGTTGTGGACCTAGTAACGGCCAAACGGTCCGGGACACATTGCGCCTTGTCTCAGCCAGACGCGGAAATGGCGACCCGGTTTTCGTCACCGCGTCCGCGGCACATGGTTCGATGCCGGCGAGTTAAGTCCATACAGGTACGAGATGATGGCGGGCTTGTTAATGGAGGAAGGCCGATCTGGCAGGGTGTCGAGATTAAGCTACATTAAGCCGAGGCCTACCCCACAACTAGTGCGAGCTAGAAAGCTTCGAATGGCGAGTCTGTCAGCAATTTCGCATGGTGACATGAACTCAAGGTCTGTCGCTACGTGCAACTGTTTCTTGAGATATGTGAATGGATGCCTTTGGCATGACATTGGTTGCGGCGCGGGCGCACTTGCCGTGCCGCATCTTCCGAGATCTACCAAGGGGACCGAGAAGAAGAACGCCAACGCCTCGATGCCTATCGCCGCAAGAAGTCTCGCAAGAAGAGGCTGTCAACCACACCGAAATAGCTTTCCAGTCTTTCGGATCTCTCACCCATATTCAGTTCCAAGGCTTTCCTACTAGTAGCTAGTGAGTAACATATGACGACTGGTCCGGATGACCTAGCAGCTGTAGACGTCGCATGGAGTGATTCAATCTAGTACCAGACTTCAACCAAGTTGAGAGGCTCGAGAAAGTACTGCGCGGCGATAGCTGCAAGAAGAACCGCAGCAGCTGCGATCCAGGTGTAAGCGGAGATGCGGCTTCCCGCTTGGGGAGAGGACGCTAAGGAAGTGGCGTGGTCTTTTCGAAGTTGATTTTCCGAGCTGCGCCTATGAGGGCTGGATGG